GTAATCACGTTGTTGTAGATGGACTTTGTTCGATTGTATGTCATGATCCAAATTTATTATAATTATTACGAAAATAAAATATATGTATGAAAGTTTCTAAATTTACTTTGAGTCGTGAGAAAGAATAGGCTTTTACGCAGTTGTTTATATAAACATAGTATCTCTTCCGATAATATTTTTATATTACCAGTAATCAAAACGAGAAAATGTGATAAAAAAAGAACGTAACTACGAAATACATGTTTACTTATATTACGTATTGTTGTTTTCGTTACCTGCATATCGATACACAGTAAACATTTTAGGTTTTTACATTTATAAATCGATTCAAGGTAGAATATGAAAAACAATCTTTTTTTCTTCTCATCACTATTACGAACAAATAAATAAATGATACGACAGAATATATTTTCTTAAAGATATTTATTAAGACAGTTTTGAACATGAATAAATGTTTATAGATTAACAAATTAGAATACAAAATATAGATAATATACACTATTGTTAGTATTATATATTATAAAAAACAATTTTAACGCTTTCAAAAATGTTTGATAATATTAAAAATTGATCATTCCAATAATTTCCATATTCGAGTCTAATTTAATGTTTAAATCACATTGAGCAGTTTGTTTCAATTGAAAATTAGGATTCTTTTGATCACCAAGCATTATATATATTTTCGATATATTATGTTGATTTCGAACAATATCAGGATGATTAGGTGGTAAAATATTTTCATATATTGCTAAAGCACGTTGATAAGCATTCAAAGCTAAATCTAATTGAGATTGTTGTTGATAAAGATTTCCAATATTATTCAATAAAATTGCTATATTTGGATGATTAGGTGGTAAATTACGATCATATATATGTTGTGCTCGATTAAAACATGAAAGAGCATCAGTAAATTCTTCTTGTGCACAATAAATATTTCCAAGATTAATAAGTGTTCCTGCAACATCTGGATGAGATGCTTGAAGAGTTTTTCCATAAGTTTTAAGAGCAGATTCAAATGATTCAATTGCTTGTGTAATATTATCTTGTTCTTTATAAACAATACCCATAGCATTCATTGCTTTCGCTGCACTTATTAAACGAGCTGGTCGAGCTTTTGAATGTGTCGTATAGGCTTGATCAAGATATTCAAGTGCACGATCATATTCACCTTTTAATCGATAAATGCGACCCATATTATAATATATACAAGAAATTTCTTCATCATTTGGAATAGATGAATGTAAAATAGCATCAAAATATTTTTCTGCTTTATAATAATTACCAGTTTCAATAATTAAATGACCAAGCATTAACATTATATTTGAATCAGTCATTTTAGCTTTTTGATATTCAACATATTCCGAAGCAATGTCAACACCTTCATCAGTTGCACTAACATTTACTATCCATAAATTATCTTTCTCATTATATATACATGAATTAATTTTAAAAACAACACCTATATCAATAAGTATTTCATTATCATTAGAATTTTGTTTATATTGTGAAATATCAGCAAAAATAATTGATTTAACTAATTTCATATCTATTGTATATTCAAATATAACTTTTTCTTCATTAGTTTGAATATTTAATTGCTTAATAAAATCATAAACTATTTCACGATTACGTGTTGTTGATAAATATTCATTAGTTAATATTAAACTATCAATATTATATTGAAAGTTTTTTATTTGTTCAGATGTTGTTTTAAAACTTCGATAGAATTTAATTGTTGATTCAAAATATTGTTTTTTAAATTTAACAAATTCTTTTTCTAATTGTTTGGATAAATCAGAAATATAAAAATGAAAATAACATAAACAACCGATATTTTCTGTACGTAAAGCTTTATTAATTAATCGATAAATAAATGAATTATTTGTATGCCATTGAATTGCTTTATTTGATTTATAATTAAGTTCAAAATCCAAAATTTCATTCAATACTTTTCTATTACCAACATAATAATCACGATATTTTGAAATCATTAATTTTTTTGATTCGGAATTTGTAGGTAATTTTTTAAAAGCAGCTTTAAATAATTGAAAAAACAGAAAAGAACCAGCTTCATGAGTTAAATCCTGTTTTTCTTTATTCTTATGATTATAAATTGAAAAAGCAGCCAGATGTTTATTAATTTGTTGACAAGTATGATCTATTTCATTGATTAATTCTTCATCAGTAGAACAAAATGCTGTTATACATGATGGAAGTTCAGATGGTGATGTAGATGTGAAAAGAAATATTGCATCAACTTGTTTCAATTCATTTAGTACAGTAAGAAGATGATCATTAAAATAATCAATAATTACAATGATTTTTTCTTCTAAAATTGATTGAATATATGTCAATGCATTTTCTTCATCATCGAACAACTAGAAAAATGCAATAGATATGATATTTTAAATTTGAATAGAATTATAGATACTTACTTGAATATAATCATTAATAAATCGAAGAGATGTTAAAAGTGATTTATTTTGTTTAGTTTTACTTAACCAAACAATTGTAATATCTTCTTCATTTGTTTCTGTACGTTGTTGATTACTAATAAAAAATTCATCAGTCGATTTCAAATTTAAATTGATTTGTTCATCTAATGATATACTTCGTGCTCCTAATGCACGCCGATTTCGCTTTGATTTTATTGCAAACTTTACCTTCGATAACATTCTTACAATATGATTTGAATTAGAATGTAACTAAAAGCATTTCTAATCACATGTATTTTTCTTTTGACATGCTTCACTGCATACACATATTATATTCATATATAAAAACTATTAGAAGAATCAATCATATTTTTTCTCTTTTTTTTATTACAGAAAGATTGGCTATTTATGAAAAAAAAATAATCGCCAATTGATATCATGTGATGATTGTTAACTTAAGTTTTTAATAAATCTTTTTTCCTATACAGATTTATTTAAATCTATTATCAGATATAAATAGTGTTAAAATGAATTTTTCATTTATTTATTTTTTATATGTGATCGTGCTTGAATATATAAGTGTATAATATATATTTATAAAAAAAATAGAATAAATAAAATATTGAATAAAAGTCAATTTGATCGACGTGATATTGTAATGACTAAATCTAAATTACAAGCTAATGTGCAAGCTAAACTCAAAAAAAATGCAATTGATCGAAATGGTTGTAATGCCATAATATATGCTATAGCATACAGTATACGAAAAAATAAATAAATGGCACCATAAATAATTGTTCTTGTACAATCACCACTTACGGTATCAATATAAAGAGCTGTCGTTAGTAGAATAATTATAAAATACACATCATTTTCTGCATCATTACTAATCGTTTTATAAATACGTATATCTTTAGTAAAAGCAGTATGATTAATTCCAGTTGTCATTGGTTCTACTTGACATTTTCTCAGTATTTTATCTTCTGGAACTCGAGAACCTGATGGAAAAGGTTTATTACGTCCTATAATAGTAGCAATAATAAGTAATACAACACGTCGAAGATTTATCATGAGCATAAACCATGCGAATACAGTAGCTGGTTGAATAGTAGTAGTACTAACCATAATTATAATGATTGAATGTACCGAATAAAAGATAAACTATCTAAAAAGTTTTACGGAAAATCTTCTTAAATATGATTTTGTAGTTTTACTTGTTGTGAATGTCTATCTAAATGAATTATTTTTTTTCTCTCTTTTTTTCTTCTTCTAGTTAGGTAATGTCCTTCAATGAAGAGAAATAAACTAACATACACATAATGTTCATTTCCGATCGTACCGGATATTTTTTTTTTGAATCAATTTTCATCTAACGGCTATAACCCTTCAATATAAAGAGTTTTGTATATAAAAAAGAAAGATTATATATAATTGCAGAAATCGAGAATAAAAGATTCAATATGAAGAATTTTAGAATGAACTGATTTTATAAAAAATAAAAGTCTATCGATTCAATACTTCCTTTTTCTTTTATCAAAAAATGCTTTGAGAAATTTAAATCAATCAATTTATTTTTCTATTTTTACCTAAAATATTTTATAAAAAATGTTTTTAATAAAATGAAAATACTAACAAAAACTCGATGCATTCTGCTTTATTATTAGTTAATATTTTGTTTTATCTTCAATAAGTAACGATTATCAAATATTAAAAAACGGTCGAACATAATTAAGCATACATAATTTCGGAAAAAAATCAGTTTTTATTGATCTATAGTTGATGTTTGATAAATAATTAATCAATCGAAATATACAACAAAAGATAATTACAAAAATGTTAGTAAAGGATAAAAAAAATAAAATGAAGAATATAAATCTGCACAAATCTTATCTTAGTGAGATTTTTATTATCTTTTAAATTGGTACTAATTTGAAAATTATTATAGAAATAGTTTTAATAAATATGTAGTCATATTCTACAATATTAAACGAAGAAACGGAATAGAAGGAATCAAAGGTTTATAGACGTATCGATTTCATCAGGTATAAGTATATATTGATTCCAAAACAAGCAGCGAGAAAGACTGAATGTTTTCTCATTTTTTTTATATGATTATTTAAAAGCAACGCGTTCAGTTTCATTCTGTTTAATTACAAATATTTCTATTTTAACATGATACTCAAAAAATAATGCAACGATCAATATACTTAAATAGTTTCTCTAATATCATAATAGTTTGTAGTAGATTAATGTAAAAGAGATGCATTCTGTACATATCACCCACACGATACAAGAATCCTATCACATATTAAACAATCACAATATTCTCCTGTCAGCGTTCTCACTATTTATTCCTTTGAAAGTATCACATTTTTTGAAAAGTGTCTATAATATATTTTAATAGATCTACACTATCACTAACCAGTAGCAGATATTTGTCTTATCTCTTCTTTGATTATTTTCTTTACCATGAAATCTTCAAGATAATTTTCAATCGTGCATAAAAGTAGATTTCTGATTTCTTCTTTTCTACTCATCTTTTAATATTGCAGAGTATGAATATATATTTGTTAAGATTATTCCCATAATAATTTTCAATGATATATAGAGAATCGATTTTTGATCTCTTCTTTTCTACTCATCTTTTAATATTGCGGAGTATGAATATATATTGGTTAAGACTATTTCCATAATAACTTTCAACGATATATAGAAAGTAGGTTTCTGATTTCTTTTTTTCTACACCTCTTTTAATATGACAGAGTATCAATACAAAATTGTTAAAACTATTTTTATAATAATTTTCAATGATATCTAGAAATTAGATTTCTGATTTCGAAATACCTATCCATATCTAAAGATTTCTTCGAGAAAAATTAGAAATGAGGAATTTCCTGAAAGTTGATAGTAGGAGAAGTTTTGTCACGTTCTCATTTCTGACAGTTATATGAAGGGTTTTTCACGTTAGTTTCTCGTTTTTTGATATGTTATAGGCAGTAAATACAAAATAAGAGAACGAAATTTCTAACTTTTTCTCCTTTGTTCACATCTCTCTCTCTCTCTCTGCTTTATATATGGAAACAACCCGAGTTTTAGAGTAGCTCACATATCATTTGGACAAACTGATATAAATGAGAACGCGAGCTCATTCAATGAAGTGAACTCTTCAGATGATGAAGCAGCAAAGAGAATTAACACTGTCTGTCTCGATCGTTTTAATGAGACGCATCACACAATGTAATAAATGGTATATTGTGTGTGGCTTCTGAATAAGAAAAACAATGAAAAATGTATTTTTCTGTTGAGTTTCTTGTTAAAATAAAATGAGACCCACCGATGGGTTCCATCGTGTCAAATTAACATATCTTCTTAAGACTTATTTCTAGTTATTTTTCTATGATGTTACACAGTAAATAATATACTAAGAAATGTAGAGTAGATTATTTTACTCTTTTCATCTAACTACGTAATAAATAAGAAAAAGAAAACTAAATATGATAGTTTAAATAGTATATATTTATGAAATAATATAGATCTACTACGATAGCAGAAACACATTTCTATAGAGTAATTTGTATTTAAATAAATGTCGAAGTTAAGATGAACATAATGCATGATTGCTTCTCGTTCATGTTTATGATAGAAATGTCCTATTTTTTTTTGTAATAATTATGTTTAAATTCATCAATAAACAAATGATTGTTTTTCTTCAATTGAAAATTAATAAAAACATCCTACAAATACCAATTCTCGTTCTATTAGTAGTATTTATGAAATCGATGATCCAAAAAACGACATGTATGAATTATTTATTCTACGTGATAAGATATTCTTTTCTAACTTAAAACATCTACATATAAACTAAAAAATGGCATTTTTCTTTTCTCATTAAAACTAATCTTCTGTTGTTTGATCCTCATTATTTGCAACATAAAAATACACCGCATGTGATGGAACATGCGAAGTTTTAACATTAAATTCTACAAATAATAAAGAACATAAATGAATTTGATGTATAACTCATATAATGAATACATTATTTGTACTATGAAATATTTTTCTAATGAATCTATTTAGATTTTGTTTTACTCAGTTGGTTTCACTCACAAGACAACTGAGATAATCAATTATGATCTATGTATCAAATCTTTCAAGTATGATTATAAAATAAATTCTAAGGAACTTAATGTAGTAAACAGAAAATTATGATTCCATTTCGCATTTAGTTTATTCATATTGTAGATACATTTTTATTACATTACATATTCTAATATTCAAATAATGAATATTACCGACTCAGAAGTCTTCGTAGATACAAAATTTTTACTTCATAGAGTTAAGTTTTCGATCTTACTCATATTACAAATTCCAGCATTTATACTTTCTCTTCTCATCTTCTTCTTTTTCATCAAACATCGTACTATTAGAGAAGCACCACATAATCGAGCATTGTTAATTTTACTTATTGTGAATTTTATACAATTATCATTTACTTTGCCACTTAATCTTCATTTCTATGCTGTTGGTTATGTTAGTCCAGCTATACCGACTTTTTGTACATGGTGGACTTTTTTTGAATTTACATTATATGTTACTAGTGAATATCTTATGGCTACTATATCAGTTCAAAGGCATTTACTTGTTTTTAATGGACATATTTTACGTATTCGTTGGAAGCGTATTTTATTTCATCATTTACCACTTGTTTTTTGTCTTAGTTATCCTATAATTTTCTATTTTTTTGCAATTATTTTATACCCATGTGATGGTAGTCAATATGATTACACTAACAATCTCTGTGGTTTTGCTGATTGTTATCTTTTATTCAATAAGGTTTTGGGAACATTTGATTGGGCCTTTAATAATGGCTTACCAATGGTGATCAATGCAGTAGCCAATATTATGCTAATTGTACGAGTCGTTCAACAGAAAAGGCGACAACAACGACCAGTCACATGGAAACAACAACGACGTATGACTGTTCAGTTATTCTGTATTTCAAGTCTATATTTAGCTGCTTGGTCACCCTCTCTCATTGTTGGAGTTGTGCAAATTCTTGGTTTTCCTACTTTTCTTGCTGCCGTTCAAACAGACTATTTTCTCGATCTTATCTATATCGTTTGTCTTTTTCTACCTTGGATATGCATTGGTTTATTACCTGAATTATTAGTATGGATTAAAACATTATGTCATTGTCAGCAACGACACAATGCAGTGGGAACTGTTGTAACACGAACTCAGTTGCACATATTACAGTAAATAACAATATAATATTAATTAAAAAAGAATTTTATGAAATAAATCAATACATAATAGATGAAAATAAGATTTTATTAAATAACGTTGTCAATTTAGTTACTATATGGAAAAAACAATAGAAAGAATAAATTTAACGAATGACCAGAGCTGTCGATTCTTGATGCAGTCACCACTAGTATATAAGTCACAGGACTCGTCATCGGCTTGATTATGTCTATAGAATTCTATTTATTTAGTTTCAATTATAAAAATAATGCAAAGAAATGAATATTACTAGATATTCTAGTTTTCAGACTGTATGTGAAATATATTTTAAATATTATCTATGGCATAGCAATGATGTTGATCTAAATTTGATATCATGACCAGAATGCGTTTTGACATAATGGATTAAAATATCTTACAAATAATGTACTGCATTCATTCTTACGTAGAAACTTATCGACTTTTGAAAGTTAATCTTTTTCAAGTTGTGTATTTTTATTGATTTTCTTATTGGCGCTACTATGAGGTAAATGTGTAATGAATCTTTAAAAACATTCTTTGTATTTTTTGCATATATTGTTCATATAGATTTTTCTTTAAAAGTTTCAAAGTGAACAGGAAGTATTTATTTGAAATCAATAGATTTTACTTTTTTATTTAATTTAATCTTCACATTGAACACAATAGTTAAAACTTACTTTAAAATAAACAATTTTTTTTTCTTTATTTGAGGTTATTTCAACATTAAAATTGAACAGTGAATATACAGGATCCTACGGGATCCTACAAAGGGATTTTTGTCCTGTGATACTTTGTAAGTTTGAGAACAACGTAAATTCGTCAATCACCATCGGAAATGTATAATATGACAGATATGATTCTCTATAACCATAATAACGTTCAATATTTCATAGTTTAATCTGGAATAAACACTTTTCCTATATTGAAAAATAATCGCAATAACGTACACCTTACGATTCCTAAAAGTTTAAAATAGAGCGACATTCACCGATGAATCACATGGTATCGAATACGTCAAATTAACGTATCTTCTTAAGACTTATTGCGAATTATTTTTATATGAAGTTAAAAATCATTGTCAGCAATTGTGAATAAATAGTATAGTAAGAAAATGTGAAGTAGATTATTTTACTCTTTTCACCTGTCTACATAATAAATAAAAATAGAAAACTAAATATGATAGTTTAAATAGTATATATTCAAGAAACAATATAGATCTATTATGATAGCAGACATATATTTCTATAGAGTAATTTGTATTTAAAAAAATATCGAAATTAAGATAAATATAATGCATGATTGCTTCCTCATGATACTTATGACAGAAAGTTCCTATTTTTTGCAATAATTATGTTTGAATTCAACAATAAACAAATGACTGTTTTTCTTCAATTAAAAATTAACTGAATCACATGATTATAAAATAAATTCTAAGGAAACTTAATATAATAAACAGAAAATTATTTTCCCATATGATATTTAACTTATTTATATCATGAGTACATTTTGATTACATTACATATTTTTATCTTGCAATAATGAATATTACCGACTCAGAAGTCTTCGTAGATACAAAATTTTTACTTCATAGAGTTAAGTTTTCGATCTTACTCATATTACAAATTCCAGCATTTATACTTTCTCTTCTCATCTTCTTCTTTTTCATCAAACATCGTACTATTAGAGAAGCACCACATAATCGAGCATTGTTAATTTTACTTATTGTGAATTTTATACAATTATTATTTGCCATACCACTTAGTCTTAGTTTCTATGCTGTTGGTTATGTTAGTCCAGCTACACCGACTTTTTGTACATGGTGGACGTTTTTCGATTTTACATTCTATGTTACTAGTGAATATCTAATGGCTACTATATCTATCCAGCGACATATGCTTGTTTTTAATGGACATATCTTACGTATTCGTTGGAAGCGTATTTTATTTCATCATTTACCACTTGTTTTTTGTCTTATTTATCCTATAACTTTCTATGTTTTTGTAATTATTTTATACCCATGCCAAGATGCTCCATGGGACTATGAAAGTAACCTGTGCGGCGCTGCTGATTGTTATCTTGTTTTTAATAAGTTTTTAGGTATCTTTGACTGGGGTTTTAATAATGGCTTACCAATGGTAATCAATGCATTAGCTAATATTATGCTTATTGTACGAGTCGTTCAACAGAAACGTCGACAACAACGACCAGTCACATGGAAACAACAACGACGTATGACTGTTCAATTATTCTGCATTTCAAGTCTGTATTTAGTTATTTGGTCACCATCTCTTATTGTCGGACTTGTACAAATTCTTGGTTTTCCTACTTTTCTTGCTGAAGTTCAAACAGAATATTTTGTCTTTATTCTTGACACGATTTGTCTTTTTCTACCTTGGATATGTATTGGCTTATTACCTGAATTATTAGTATGGATTAAAACATTATGTCATTGTCAGCAACGACACAATGCAGTAGGAAGTGTTATAACACGAACTCAATTAAACAAATAACAATAAACATTTATAAACTATATTTTATCTTGACATATACTTATTAAATCATGACTTGTATATTTTCTCTTTCAAAAATAAATTATCTGCTTCACTCCACATATTTAATCCTACGCAATTGTCTAGTATTCTCTATATATAAATAAAACTTCAATTTAAAAGTATATTGTGAGCATTTCATGCTGTTTTAATACTATGTTCATGATTGTATATTGTTATCTATTTCTATAATCATCTTCAAAGAATTTCTTAAGATAATATAAATTTTTATTATTTGAAAAACATAACAGCACAAAAGATAAGAAAGAGAAGAACAAATACAAGTATGACACGATCAACAACTGGATGAAAGATATAAAAAGATTGATATTCATATTTTATAGTTTCATGAAAATATCTCTTTGCCTTAGACCAATAAAAATGTGTTTGACATCGAATACAAATCATTTCATCACAACCACCATTCTTTTCAATTGGAGCATTACAACCTGGACAACGTGTAGCAAATCTTTTAATCCATTCATCATTTTTTCCTTCCCATTGTTGTTCACGTAAATAATCATTTAATAAATCATTACTTCTATATTTTAATAATATATCACATATAGCTGATTGTGATAAATTAGCAGAACAATTAAATTCTGGACATGCTATACAACTTGTTAAACATGAATAAAGTTTTGATAAAACATGTTGATGAATACATGAATCACAAACTTGACGTTTACGATGTTTTGTTAATGGTGAACAACAATAATTTGTAGTAAATAATTGACATGAACGATAACATGAACATACTGAACATAATATACTACTATATCTTTGATAAGAAGATTTTTTCAAAACACCTATTGAAAATAAATAATATTCATGAAAATTTAATGATATAAAAAAAATTTTCAACTTACTTGTCAATCGATAATTCATATCTATGTGTTATCGATCATATGATAATCGCTATAAATATACGTCATGCCATCTCATTCAGGTTAAACAAAGGACGACGGCAACAGCGTCGTCTTATTTGAATAAACATCATTTTACTCTTGAAAATGAGAGAGAGAGAGAAAAATTCGTTTCTAAACATTTCAGCCGACTGAATAACAAATTATAGAAGGAAACAATATAATAAATGTTGCGAAAAGTCCTAAAAATTTATTTCATATCATTCTTGTCATCAGTTATTTCACGCTACTATGGTCTAGACACGTCGGTCGTTTCATTTAGTTAACATACTGTATATATCAATCAAATGTATGAATATGATCTTGAACGAAAGTTTATAATTGAGATTCAAAGAAGGAAATGTATTAATGAAAAATTTATTATCATAAAAAAATTCCATCCAATAAATGTATAAAAAAAATCGATTAAAAAAAAAAGGTCTGGTTTATTCTAAATAAAAAAAATTTAAGAACTAAAAAGTTGTTTCACCCATAATTTCTGTTTAAGTCTATCAACATAAGCTTGATTCATTTGTACTTGTGGATGATTTTTCTGTAATGTTTTAAGTAAACGTTCAACAGCTTTTTCTGCACTTTCAACTGCTTCTTCTAATCTTCCTAAACCTTCAAATGCAGTACCACGATTATGATATGTAACAGCAACAGTTGGATGATTATCAGGTAAAACAGCAAGTTCAATATCTAATGTTTTATTATAATATTCAAGTGCTTTTTCATAATTATTCTGACGAAAATAAACTCCACCAATACGATGATATGATCCAGCTAATTCTGGATGATTTGTTGGTAATGTCTGTTCTTCAATTTGTAGAGCACGTCTAAAATGTACAAGTGCATCATCATAACGTTCTAATTTTAAATAAACTCCACCAATATTATTGGAATATGATATTATAGATGGAAGATCTGGACTTGGTGATTTTAATTGTATTGATAAAGCTTTTTGATGATATTCTAATGCTAATTCCGTATTACCTTGTCTTAAATAAATTGAACCCATATTATTCCATGTTGGAGATAATTGTGATGCATCATCAGGTAAAAAACGTAAATAAAGTTCATGAGATTTTTTAATAATTTCTAATGCATCATCATATTCTTCTTTTTCATATAATGCCGTACCTAATGAATGATAAATACGTGCTAAAGCTAAAAGTGGATCTTTTTTCGCATTTATTAAATCAGCTAATAAAATTTGTCCTAAGTGAACAGCATGTGAATATTGTTCAAGTTCAATAAATAATTTAACTATACGTAATGATGGATGAGGAGCTCGTGTTTCTTTTCTTATTGGTTCAATTAGATTTTCATATTGACGATCATCTGAATTAATTGTTGTTAAATGTACAATTGTTTTTCCATTTTTATCTTTTTCAATATTTGCAACTCGTGTTACAAGACCAAATGTAAATAGAATTTGATTATCAATCGACATATAATGATTACTATTTGTTACATCAATTTCAAATAGAATTTCTTCATATTCATTATTATTTGTTTTAAATGATGATAAATTTTGTTCGGGACGATTCGTTGTTGCAAAAAAGAAATGTGAAAATGAAATATAACCATTATCAGAACATTTTTTTAATATTTCAAGTTCATCATTTGTAAGAATTTGTAACCGATAAATTGTTTTAATTGATACATCATTTGATGATGAAAGAATAAAATTATGAAGATTTTGTATAAATAAACGAAGTTTAAATAAGATATCAACATCAGGTATTCGAAAACCTTTATTTAACATCTAAATAAATAAGATAAAAATTTCGTTTTATTTAAATAAATAATTTTGAACGAACTTTATATAAAAAGAATTGTTTTTGATAAAATTCTAGAACATTTTCTTTTTGATATTTATCTTGGAATTGTTCAATAGAAATTAATTGTTCTTCATTATCTTTATATTCATTTTGACAAAAATCAATTAATTCTTTTTTCGCTTCATTCATATCATCCGAATCAATAATAATTTCTTTAACTATCTGATTAATAATAAAAAATGGTTCTTCTTTTATATTTGTTGTCGGTAATATATGAGTAAATGTTAATGAATTTTCTTCGTCATTTTCCATATCCATTTTAATTTGTTCAAGTATTTCACTAATATGTGTATAAATTCCACGAATTTTTGGTTGATTTGTTGACCAACTATCAGCTTCTTCTTCTGTTTGACATAAGACATAAATAGCAAATAATTGTTGAAGATCTTGTATACGTGATACAACTGGATGGCCTAATACATCACTTACAATAATAATAACTTTTTCATTTGAAATTGTATTTATAAATGCAATACAATCATCGGCATCATCGAATATTTTTAAATAATTAATAAGACCACGAAGTTTAATTGTTAGGGAATGATCAGGTGCGGATGAATCCAAATAAACAAGAAGAAAATCTTCAACATTTCCAATTTGTCGACGTGTAAGAGTTAATTTTTTTCGAGTATTTGTTTCTGAATATAAAATTTAATTAATTAAAAGAAACAAAAAAATCAGTTAAATTAAACGTACGAGTAACAATTCCAAGTCGAGCAAGTAAACCTTGAATTCCATCTCCATCATCATTTGTTGATGGAACACGTAGAGAACCACCAGACATAGCTTGTAAAAGTTGAAGAAAACCTAACATATTTCCACTACCACCATTTTCTTCTTCTGCTTCTTCTTCTTCATCATCATCATCATCTTTTTTTGTCGATGAAGATTCAGTTTGTTTAACTATTTCCGATGGAGATTTTTCATTATTTTGTTGAACAGTAGTAGTTAATAATTCTTCTGAAACAGATTCCGAATCAGAACGTGTAAATGTCGATACTTGAGGTGGACCATAATTTTGTTTTCTTACTAATATTTTATCTTCATTATCTGAACTGTTTAATGGACGAAGAATTGGTTCTATAAGAAGAATTTTCAAATATATTTATAAATAAAAATAGTTATATAATACAGACTCTCTTCATTATTAGATATTGTTTTTGATTTTGTCGATTTAGTCTAAAAACATATTTTCCGATAAAGAAAAAACTAGAAAAATATTTACTTCAATAGAATCTGATTTCGATTTGTCATTTTTATTTATTAATTGTTGTTGTTGTGGTTTCGATTCATTTTGTTTTCTTGCTAAATATACAAATAAATCGATAGGATTTTTATTTCGATTATTTTCTATAAAATACATGATAATTTAGATGGACTAGGACTACGATGAGATCGTTGTTTCACAGATGAATTTTCCCTTGTTGGTCTTCTTCGATCATCTGGTACAGATTTCTGATGAGATCGTTGATTATCTAATGTTGATCTTTTCTCTTCATTGATTACTTTATATTTAATAAAATAAGAATAAATCAAATTAGAATTAAAATTTACTTGATGAATTTGATGTATGATTATGACGATGTCGTCGGGAATAAGCAACAGAAGTCTAGTAAAAAAAAAATAAAATATAATAATTAAGATTTTTTTTCTTACTGATTTATCTATTTTAGTAGTTCTTTGTTGTTCATTATCAGTTTGACGTCTATCATTTGTTTTAAATGTATTCATATGTTGTAATTGAAAAAGATCATTTTCTTCATTTAATTGTTCACGTTCACAATCAATCGATAAACGACATTCAAAAAGTTCATTAATAAAAAATTCTAATTTAACTATTAATTGACGATGATGTCGTTTAAATTTGAATGTAAATGGTTCTTAAAAGAAAAAATATTTTGTTTACTAAGAATAAAATTTTTTTTCTATTTAATAAAATAAACCTTTTGGTCGAAGGAATCCTTTGAAAACAATAATATTTTCTTGTAAAACCATTATTTCATCACCATGTCTTTCACTTCCAATGCCTTGATAAATCATTGTTATTGGACATGAGATTAATTTGTTTAATTTTAATGGTGATCGAGTTCTTGCCTAGATATAATAAAAGGAAATAATTAAATTATAATATGAATTACTATTACTTCTGAATAACTTGAATCATTTGTTTGATGAAATGGTTCTGTTGAAGAATTTCGATACTAATTATTAATTAATTCAATATATATATTTATAGAAAATGTGTTTTTTTTCAATATCATACAGAATGAGAATCAGACGTTCGATGACGAGAAGGACTAGTGAATCTTTCATGATATGTTGGTGATCGTGTTCGATGATGATAATAACGACGTCTTTCTAATTTCTAAGACAAAAATAAAACTTGTTTTTTTGTTTAGATAAAAAAGAAAAACAAAATCCTAACTTTAATATTATCAACAATATATTCAAATTGACGACGTAAACTTTTTTCTCGACTTCGTTCAATTTCTATAGCTCTAATTAAAATATTTCAATGTATACGTATTAAAAATTAAGTTTTGTATTTCTTTTCATACCGATCAATAATTTCTTGTTCAATATCGTCATCATCTCTCGATGAGCTAATATCAAAAGAAGATGATGATGGTGAATGATAACGTCGTCGATGTCGATGTCGTCGTTCATGTGAATAATCCATTTAAATATTTTAAAAAAAACAACAAATCTAAAAGATTCTTTTTATTGAAATAAAAAAAAAAGAAACCCTATTTTATCATTCTTTGTTGTCTTTCCTTTTTCCAGCTGATGATAAACAAATATTTACACGTGGTTAACAATACTGATAAAAAAGGATTGGAAAGACGTGTAATGACTAATATTACAAATATTTTTTACTAGGAAAATTTGAATAAAACAAAAGTAAAGAATTTAACTAAAATAAAACTAGATCGTACATTTATTTATTTTTAAAGGATGAATACTATGTGAAAAGGCATTACTTACTCTCTCTCTCTCTCCCTTTCTTTGCTTTTCTTTGTAACGTTAATAGAGTAGAAGGAAAAGCGAATGATGATGACAAGAGTGGTAGTTTGTGTTCTTTTTTCTTTATTTTTTTTTGTGTCGTATACATCGGAATAAGACAAATTTTTGATGCAATCAATAGAGGAAGAAAGACAGACAGGTAAAAAAATAAATGTCCTTCGAACTGTATTGTTGTTAATGACAACTACAAAAGAAGGAGTAATTGTCCATTGTATATATATACACATATCGATTTTAAAAATATCTAAAATGATTGGAACTGTTGAATAAATATATATCAATTCCAACTATATGGTAACTTACTTATCTATATATTCAACTATTTAAATATTTCATAGGTTATTCATGTGCATGTGTACACTGTAATTCTGAATTTTATATGTTTTCATATATACCTATCTTATCGGCTTGTACTTTTCTTATGTCCTTCAATCGATAATCGATGATTTGCAACTCTTTTCTTTTTTTTCATTGATTCTTTTAGTTCTTGATACTCGAAAAAACATGCAATTATGTCAATAGAATGGAATTAGTCGATTCAAGTTTAAATAAAAACAATTCGTTTTTTTCTTATTCTAAACTTAATAAAATATATCGAAAAAGAATTATATAATCAATGTATAAATCATTTATTTTTGCAAGATATTACAAATTATTGATACACATATACTACACATCATACTGGAGAATTAAGTTGTTCTATAAAAAAAAGATTTTTTTTTGTTCATAATTTTTATAGATACATAAAAAAACAGCTTTTGATAGAAGTATCTATATATATTGAAAATATAAAAATAATTTCGTTTTTTTTTTTTAACTTTTGAAAACACGAACAACACGTATAATAAAACAACGACATAGAGGACATTCTGATAATTTTTTACCACATTGTACACATGTACATAAATGACCACAATCAAGAAAAACACAATCAATTGTTGCATCCATACATATTTTGCATAAGTTTTCATCGGATTGTTCAGTAGATACTTAAATAAAATCGATAAATTAATAGAAAACTTATGAGAATAAAATAAGAGATTTTTACTAGATGGATTGAATTCTTTTTCTTGTTGTTGTTTGTCTCGATAGAGTAATTCAAGTTTAGTAATTAATTCATTTTTTTCAACACATCCTCTATATGATACAAAATTTTGTGTAAGAATATCTTTTAATTGTCCAACTGTTAAATTATGAATGGATTCTAATGATGAAACATCAGCGAGTGTTTTACGATTCGATAATGATACTTTTGGAAGAGATGAAGCTGGAGGAGGAGGAGGAGGAGGTGATGGTAAAGGATCAGTTGTCGTTTCTGGTCTTAATTCATCTGATGAATTTGTAACAACTGGAATTGGTAATGGTATCTAAAATTAAAATATTTAAGTAATGGGAATGAGAATATATGTTCCCCACATTTTGAGAAAAGAAATATTTACACGTATCATAGAAAAAATCTAATCAAGAATATTTAAATCTGTTTTTGATATAAACTAATTATATTTACCTCTTCAGTTCTATTTGTTGCTGATTCTTGAATATTTGTTGGTGGATTATTATCATTTATTCTATGAGCATATTCAACAAAAACATAACTATCATCGGGTGTTCGTTGTTTTTTCGCTATAATTAAATTAATTAAATCTTGTTTTTCACGACAAGATTCCAAACGATTTACAGGTACTACTTTCGAATGTATAAGATAAGCACGTAAATCTTTTATACGAATAAATGTTAGTTGATCACGAGTTGTATTTTCATTAATAATTACTAAACAAGTTGTACAAGTACGTGAATTATTCGATGATGATGATGTTACTGATTTTGTAATACATTTTGAACAAAATGTTTGTCCACATAGATTACATTGTTTCTAAGATAAAGTTTATTTAACATACGATAGAAATATAATAGGATAAAAATATTAGAAATTTTCTTTTATATATATTTATAAAAGCTTTTTTTTATATCCAATTATTGATTTATATGGCATATTGATTACTTACGCGTCGTCGAAGTATTGTATATCGTTGTAGACAGTGTTCGCAATAAGGTATTTGTTCGGACATATTAAATGAAATTGTTATAGTAGACACTTGGCCTATACTCTACTCAATGCTTGAATATGACTACTGCGTTTCTTTTTTTTTTTTCTTCCTATGTATATAATAGCGTGCTATATGTTTGTGATAAAAACAACAGCAACACAAAATAAAACAGAATGATGTAAGAACGGCAAAAAAACACACACACACACTCACGATAGATGATGTACTGGCCTTCGTCAATCACACATCCGTGAATATAGGTGGCATCTTTTGATGAATAAAAATATCATAATAAGTCAATTATAATTAAAATAATCCAGACAAGAAATAATGTTCGTTTTGTTTTTGATATATTCTATTTAAATTCAATCAAATTTTGACAAGTAATGTGGATCTTTGTACCTCTCATCTTGTTTTTTTCATCGATGATAAAATAGAAAAGAATAAAAAGATCTATTTGTTCTAATCATTAAAACAAATGTATGACCTTTTATCCATATTATTATATAAGGTTTTTGTTTGATACAATTCATAATTATTTATCTCGAAATTCGAATATATAACAAATGAATTTATAATTATTTCTCTTATCTATTTATATAAATTCAAAGCCTTGAAAGAGCTCGAAATATGAAATTATTCTAACCTTGTTTAATAGACGAAGATTGACTAATAGAATAGCAATATGTTAAAACAATACGATGTTTTTCTTTTAAAATACGTTTATTATAAAAATATTTATGCAAAGAAAAAAATCTTTTTTTTTTTCAATTAAATTTGTTCTATATTGATATGACGAAATATTCATTATATATCTTCTTAAGTTTTTAAATGAATAATTAACAAGATAAAATAATGAGTTCTAATAACAAAAAATCAAATTTGTTTTTTACTCAGTTAACATTTCTCGATGTTTTGTTTTTTCCCTTGAATATTTCCATTGATTTATGATATCTGAAGGTCATCATAATTGTACATCTTTCTTTTATTATTCTGTTATTTTCTATAAAATGAAAAAATCAACGAAAATGACAAGCATAGCTGTGTAACTTTAAATGTATTTGCTTTGCAAAAGAAAATGAGAACCTTCATTTTATTTCTCTTTTTTTTTCTTTTCCTTTTTTACGTTCTGTCTTTTGGCCATTCTTTTTTCCACTGTTGTTTGATGAATAATAAGAAATATGTGGTAATATAAAACAACGTGCATATTTAGAAAAGAAAAATTAATGTTGATAGTTACTGTCTTCAATGAGATTGAGAAAAACAATTCAGTTTTTTTCTATTTAGATTAAAATTAAATATATTAACTTGATGAATTTTAGGTAGTAAAAGAATAACAAATGGAATATTTATTAAGACATGAACGACGTCGACGAGCACATGATTTAATTAATCAACAAATAATTGAACGGTAAGTTTCTTTTTTTTTGCAAATGAGTTTTTAATTCAATAAATAAATGTAGAGCAATTGATCTTGAAAGGGAACGTGAAAATGATCTTCGACGACATATTCGATCAATTATTCACGATGTTCAGGTTAATTATTTTTTATATATCATTTATTTTTTACCCAAAAAAAATTTGTTTTTATTAGCATTCAAAAAGACAACGACATAGTCGATCATATTCTCGACATAGTGATTATAGAGATAATCGTCATCGATATAATGCATCTGATGTTTATGAAGAACAAGTATGTGATTGTTTTATTAATAAGATTTAGAAATTTCTTTTTTTGTTTGTTTATTCTTTTAATAGTTAAAACATCGATCTAATAGTGTTTCTCAATATCGTGATCATTCCTGTCAGAATCGAGTGTGTTTTGGATTCGATTTTTTTTCAAGGTTATAAAAAAATAAGAATTTTTTATTTTTATTTTTAGCGCAGTGAATCAAGAGAATGTTCTTTAGTTACATTAACATATCATGGTGCAAATGCTGGTAGACATGGTGATGAAATAATGATTGTTCAACGTGATAAAACAGTTTTTAAAGGTTGTTTAAATCGTGGAGGTAAATCGAGAAAATTTCTTATGTTTTTTTGTTTGTTCTAATTTCAATGGTTTATTAAAGATCAATTAACATTTAAATCCAAACGTTATCATGATGAGAGAAGAATACAATTCGAATTTTATATAAATGATTTACTTGAAGATCGAATGACTGCTTGTTGTGAACATGCATTAATTAATATAAATGAAAAGCATTATTTTCAAGTTAATCGTGTTGTTGGATCACAACCTTGTCAAGAGTAAAAAAAACAAACAAAACAAATTATTTTCAATAAACTCTATATTTTTCGTTTTAGATGTCAATCAGAAACTAGCTCAGTTTGTATTTTCATTATAAAACAAAGAAAAGAATTTTCATTTCGAATATCTTCTAGAATTCATCATCACCTCCAAGAAATAATTTAACTTCAAAAATTAGAAGATCATCATCATCATCATTCGCTAATAAAGAACAACGTCAAGTAACAGAAAGATCATCTCCACGTGTAAGAATTTTTTCAATAGGAAAAGTTTCATTTATTCTTAAAATAGATTACAACTAGTTCTCATAAATCCAAACCACCTGTATCGTTAAATAATCGATCACGTAAGTTCGAAGGTATTTGACATTTTTGTTCTTATTTTAAATTAAATAATAGATCAAAACTCCAATTCACAAAAACAATCTAATCCTCAAAGATTTGAAGTTTGTTTTGAGTTTTATTTGTATATAAATTAGTTTCAAATATCTTTTTCGTTTTAGAGAAACCATTCAACCATAATTTCTATTCAACAAAATAATACTGAAAAGCCTTGTAGAGATTTTATAAATAAACTAAAATATTTGAATTTATATTTATATTTTTCATTTAGTAAATGAAGATTTTTCAACACATACTTCCGAATTTCCAGAAGTTACAACATCAATTTTAGTTCAACAAGAAAATATACAACCAAACGATGAAAATTCAACCGTGTTTCTACCTACTTTATCATCAACTGATCGAGAATCACCACCACCACCACCACTACCAACCCCACCCAAACGAATTTACGGTATAATTCTATTAATTCTTTGAATTCTGAAAAAAAATATTTCTCTTCTATTCTAGGTCCGCCACAATTATCGACAATGTTATCTGTTTCTGAACTATTAGATTCTCCATTTGAAACTCCACTTGATACACATGAAGAAACAGTTGAAAATCCAATAAATGAAAATTTTGAATCATTGAATATTCAAGAGAAAAAAGGTTTTTTTTGTTTTCTTAAATAAATTATTTCCTATTATTTATCATTCATTTCATTGAATCTTCTTTCTGTTTGTTTTCTAGATTCTCATTCTGATACAGATAATGAAGATAATCAAAATGAAAATAATCAATCAGATGAAATTGTTCAATTTCTTCAAACAATGTCATCACATGTTGAAAATACTCCAAATGAACAAATAAATCAACAAATATCTTTATTAAATAATAATTCTGCTCGTGAAACTGGTATTGTTAATGATGCAACTCATATATTATTAACACGACTTGGAATTATGCGACGTAAGTTTTTTTGAGTCTTTAGCTGTATCGTAAATACCATTTCTACGAGAAAGAACTGATCGTCTTCTATGAATAGTAATAATTTGTGTCTTGTTATGAAATTTAGAACAACAAGTTGAACATGCTGAACCAACAATTGGTAATGCTCCTCGACAGAAAGGCAATGTTGAATATTTTATTCTTGTTTATTTACATTCTACATATCCTGATAAATCTACAATAAAACATCTTCGTTCTCTTGTAAATTTCTTAAAAATTTTTGATGATACCGATGATTGTACTGCATTTATCAATAGTATATCAAATGAAAAGATTATTTTAATTTTATCAAATTCATTTTTTAATTCAATTCTTGAAAGAGTTGAAGATCTTCAACAAATATTTACTATTCATATTTTATATGATGACAATAATAATAATCAAGATCAACAAATTCAATTAAATAAACATTTAAAAATTAAAGGATTGTATAAAAATGCAAATGAAATTTATCAACAAATATCAAAAGATATAACTGAAGTAACACGTGATTTAATAGCCTATATGAATATATCATCAAATACAACAACACCTGATCCAATGTTTATTTATTCTCAATTAATAAGTCAAATTATACTTGATCGAGAAGAAACAGACTGTGCTATGAAAGAATTAGTAAATTTTTCTCGTCAAGAATATGATGGAAATGATGAAGAATTATCTATAATTGATGAATTTGAAAGTGATTATGAAGAAAGTCGAGCTATTTGGTGGTTTACTAGACAATGTTTTCTATCAAAAGTAAAATAAATAAATAAATAATAAATGAAAAAATATTTCTATTATTCTATTTAGATGTTAAATAAAGCACTTCGTATTCCTGAAGCTGATGTTTTATTTAAACTTCGTTTATTTATTCAACATTTACATCATCAAATTCGAAATGAATCAATATCTAATACATCTGAAACAGATCTAATAGTTTATTTAGGTCAAACAATACATCAAAATGATTTAGAAGATTTACAAAAGAGTTCAACAAATAATGGTTTACTTGTATTTAGTCAATTTTTATTTGCATCAACCGATATTTTAAAAGCAATTGAAATAGCTCGTAAACTTCCCGTATTATCCGATGAATATATACCTGTTATACTTTGTTTAAATATAACATCAAATACGAAATGTGCTAATACAAGTTCACTTCGATATACAGTTGATGATGATAATGATGTTTTATTAAATATGGGAATGATGGGACGTTTAATAAAAATTGAAAAATCAATTAATAATCAATATGGAATTGCTTCAATTTATTTAGATTTAGTTGATAGTAAAAATGAACGAAATTTACAAGAAATGATTGAAATAAAACGAAATGAAGTAAAAGGTGCTGCACCATTTATTACTTTAATTAAATTAATGATGATCATGGATCAACAAGCACGTGCTGAACAATTAGTACAAATGATATTTGATGATGAAACATTAAAATCTGATGCAAATCTTCAAGGTTCATTAGCTGCAGCATGTCATATACTTGGTGCAACATGTCATGCAAAAGGTGATTTTAAACGTGCTGCTGAATTATTTCATTTATCATTAGATACATTTCTTCGATTTGTTCCATCGGATGCTGTACAATTATCTCCAACATATAATAATATTGGTTCAATGTATTTTCGTCAAGAAGAATATACAAAAGCAATTGAATATCATCAAAAAGCACTTGATGTACAATTAAATTCAACAAATCCAAATTTAAATGCAATTGCATCATATTCAAATAATGTTGGTGTTGTTCAATTAAAACAAGGCAATTATAGTGATGCAGTTAAATCATTTGATCGTGCGTTAAAAATTCTTCTACAAATCAATCAATCAAATGATCCAGATCTAGCATCAACATATGATAATTTAGCTGATGCTTATTTTTTTCAAGATAAATATGATAATGCTTTAACATATTATACAAAAGCACTTGAAATTCAACGTCTAGTTCAACCACGTAATCCACAAGCATTAGCATCATTTAATAATAGTATTGGAAATATTTATAATAAAATACATCGATATGATGATGCACTTGTTTATTTTAAACGTGCTTTAGAATGTCAACAAGAATATTTACCACTAACACATCCATCATTTGCATCACTTTATAATAATATTGGTTCAATGTATTATCGACAAGAACAATATGCTGATGCATTACCATATTATTTAAAAAGTTTAGAAATTGAATTAATGTGTTTACCAGATAATCATCCAACGATTGCTGTAACACATTTTAATATTGCAACAACATATACTGGTTTAGGAAGATTTGATGATGCTATTATATCAACAGAACGATCAATTGAACAATTATTAAAAACTTTACCACCAAATCATCCAGAAGTTATTGAAAATCGTTCTTATATGGAAACAATTAAAAATAAACGAATACTTAAAGGACTTTTTGATACCAATGCAACGAATATTTAGTCAATTGGTTTTCCTTGTTTTTCTTTTTTTTTTTGCAAAACTGTGATTATGTGCTATTTATCTTTTTTTATTATTATTTGATAAACTAGATTGAATTATTGTTTGATTATAAATATGAATGAATGATATTGAGAAAGACAAATAAGTTTTACATATTGTCTTATATTAAAATTGACAAAAATAAATGCGGAAACCTCGGATTTACATCCGAGTGTTATGTGTACTCAAAAAAAGTCATAGGGAAATATCAGTATTTTTGCAATAACTCGGGAATGGCCCAGCCAATTAGGCCCATCTTCGAACTCGACCGAGATCTAGATAAGACTAAACTGTGCACAAAATTTCAGCTCAATCGGACTATTCTTTCAAACGTTATCGTGCATACGGCCGGACGGACGGCCGGACGGCCGGCCACACTGACCGATTCTAGAAGTGTACTCACTTTTTTGAGTACACAAAAAGACTAAATCAATGCAACAGATTTAATAACGACGCAGTATTTAAAAAAACAATGTTAGAAATGATTCTGATAGATTGAAGTTACATACATATATAAGATAAAAACTAAGTTATTGTCAATTTGTTTTTATATAAAGCAGTATGGATTATATTAACTGGTGTAGGGATTTGTTTTAAGATTCAATCTATACATATTTCTTATGCACTTTAACATTAGCTTCCGAATCACTTCCATTTATACCTAATTAAGCACGTCTATATTCGTTTACCGATGTGTATTATTCAGAATAAAACATGATTATATATTTCATTCGTACTAATACGTGTTTATTTTAACTATTTAATTTTATAAAATAATGAAAAGTAGATTATAAATCTATTCTAGTAGAAGAAATGAATTATTCTCAAAATCAGAACAGCTCAAGCATTTCTAAGATTGTAAAACGTTTTTGAGTTGAAGTGTATGCAAATAGAGAGTGAACGATAAATATATAGTTATATTCATGATATACATCTTTGACGAGGTTGTTGTACAACGATGTGATTCATCTATTGACTAGTTTAATAATTCAATGCTAAACCATTTATGTATTGACCTTCTAGTTACTACCTACTTATTCATCTATTAATCAAAATAACAAATAAAAATATAAAACTTCTAAAAGAACGTTTCATACGACTAAAAGACATAAAAGCAATTATGATAGTTCGAAGTTATGTGAGAAGATGTATGTATGTAACTCGTAATTATTATTGTTTCTAAATATATTACTATAGTCACTAAATAAATATAAATTTTATGATGGAATTGCAATGATATATATTTTTTTATATTATATACTACCTTGATGGATCAATGAGAAGTGGTTTTTTTCATTCTTTATGTCGTCAGCTTCTATTTGCATAGTGTACAAAACTGATTACGTCTTCTGTTCTACGCAATAATAAATTTTTTATACTTTTCTTACTCATTTTTTCGCTTTTTTAAAGATGAAGGATAAAGAAAAAAATGACATATACTTTGTTGACGTCTGTCGAGGACGTGGGAGTTGGTGAGAACGTAGTTATCAAAATCATTGACGTATACATCTGATTCATCTTCTAAGTCTATATATTCTAGATATATTCATCTCGAAGCAGTGAGTGAAAGAAGACAAGAAAGTGACACTTGTATCTTTACAAAAAACAAAAAGGTCATGGCAACTTCTCAACAAGCATCACAAAGTAGTGTGGCTGATATCACTGGTCAATTCACTGGAGGTTATTTTAAAATAGATCATCGTGATACAAATACGCTTTTATCTGTAACATTAACAGCTAATACTGTATTTTATGCTCAACCTGGAGCTATGGTAGCCATGAGTCCAGACGTAACACTCAAGGGTAAATTTAAATTTTCTTTCAAAAAAATGTTAACTGGCGGTGAAATGTCTCAATCAACATATACAGGACCTGGTGAAATTTTATTTGCACCAGCTATTTGGTATGTCCTATATCTTTCTATATTTTTATATAATTATTCTTTTCTTTTTCAAGGGGTGATATTGTGCCTATTTACATGGATGGTAATATTCAATGGAATGTTGGTAGAGGTGGTTTTTTAGCAATGACAGATGGTGTAATAAAAGAAACAAAATCCCAAGGATTAGGCAAAGGAATGTTTTCAGGTGAAGGCTTTTTTGTTAATCGAATATCTGGTGTCGGTATTCTTTTTGTTACATCACTTGGTGCAATTGTACAACGAAATTTAAAACAAGGAGAACAATGGATTGTTGATAATGGACATTTAGTTGCATGGAATTGTTCATATACCATTGAAAGATCAGGTGGTGGTCTTATCAGTGGAATGCATGCAGGCGAAGGACTCGTGTGTCGATTTACAGGACCTGGAACAGTATTCATTCAAGTAAATATTCTTGTTTTTTTTCAATATAAAATAATTAATATGTCATATGTATTTTATAGACTCGAAATCCTGAAGCTCTGTCAGAATGGATAGCAAGTCATAGACCAGCAAGTTAATTATATCTATGTATTTGACTTCTTAACATGTTATTTTTTTATTCTATTAATTAATAATAAAATGAATATATTCGTCAAAAGGATTGAGAGTTATAGAATTGAGATTTGATTATATTCTTCTATTCTCCGACATCAGAATGAACTTAATACTATTTACAAATATTTATCGATATGTCTATTCAACTGTCAGTTTTATCTACAAATAGATTATGTTTTACTAAAATCTTAGAAGTTTTTGTCAATAAGACTATAATAACTTCTTATCAGTACATAATTATCAATCCAGATTAAAACAATAAAATTGTAAAAAATAGACTACATCTTAAACTAAATCAAATACATATAGTTAATTTTTTAAATCTAGTCTTTCAATATAAAATCTGACGATATAAATATTTTATAAATTTAATTAATTAAACATAAAAAATATTTTGTGTCTAACGATATTTGATTTGCTTCATGTTTAAAAACTGTATAGTAGTTTAACACATTTTATGAAAGAAAGAATAAGCAAGATGACGGCAATTAATTCTTAAGTTATATGGCAAGTAATATATAACAAAAACATCATTTATTAAAGGTTTGATTCGAAGAATAGTATAGACTATCGTATATGTAGATCTAAAAATAACTTATTTATTTATATATTTGTAATAATGTTTATCGTTTTAAAAAGATTTAGTTGATTGAATTTAAAAACGAAAGAATCCTATTGATTTTTTATTAATTAAATAGTATATATCGTAATCTTTCAAAAGTTAGAACATTAAAGAAAGAATTATTTGAAGATTTGAACTCATTGAATTACTAAAATCAAGGTAATGAAAGATAATAAATGTAAAATGCAAGTATATTAGATTCACTCCTTTGATTTTGAACACATAGTTTAGTTCACATCTATCACCACATGATTTATAGTTAATGAAGATACATAGAGAGAGTTTTATAGAAAAGAAAAATTCATTTTCTCTCATAATGATCAGACATCCTACTTTTACATTGAATTAATTCTTTATAATTCATCTTATTTTGCTACTAATTATAAGAGAAGAAGAGAGAAAAGATTTGACAGTGAGACATCTCTTTAATTAAAAATTTTACTTCTTTTAATATAATTAAATCTTGATGAGTATATTTCAATAGTTTAACTCGCCTACTAGTCTACATCATTTTTCAACTGACTTGTTTCAAGTAAGTAATTTTAATAAATGTTGAAAGAAAAATATCATAGAATAATATTCAATCATCTTTTAATTTCGTTTTTCATGCAAGTATTCGATGATCATATTACTTATTTTAGGACTAAAGATTTGTTCATTATCTTTAATTCTTTCACTACATTTTCTCTTCTTATCGTATCAGTATAATGAATTAATATCATATACATAATAGATATAAGTTTTTCAAAATCTAAACTTTTAACTCATTTCTGTAAAACAAACTAGTGAAAATAATACTATTACTATTAGATTTTCTTTTGTACTATAGTACATTTACGATTGATTTCCATAAAATTTTGTCTTTCTTAAGAATACGTTTTTTATGCAAATATTAATATTTCTTTTTATAAATCTTCTTTGACATTTTGTCATATTTTTCCGTTGTTAATTATTATGTTTAAAATAGAAATAGCACGCTGGCTACATTCTATTAGATTATTTAGAAAATTTTATTAGTTTTCCTTTCAGATCATAGACAGACTAACGAACCTGGCATGTCGACCATCAATTGTAGCATTTTCAACGGTATGATTCGCTTTAGCTCTCAAAAAAAGACTTAATCGATCTATTTATTTAGTTTCTTTTGTATTTTCCCGTAATGAACCCCTCGATCGTACCGCCTCCTACAGAGATATCATATGGTCATAGAAGAAAATCATGTTAATCATTGCATGAAAATGATAAAGAAAGTGCGATAGTATATGAGATAATTAGAATTTGGACTGGGATCTCTACATAGAATGTTCATAAACTTTGTTATAACATATAACTTCTATATTTTTCACATTGCAGTCAACTTGTACACATTAAAGTATAAAATAAATCAGTTTGATCTGTGTCTGCACTGTATCTATCATTCATTATTATTGCTGTAGTGAACATTCATAAAATATTTTAATCTAAGTTTCCAAGTAGTTAAAGCATACTAAATTATCAAACTGATGACAATTAGCAAAAGGTGAATATAAAAAAAATAAGTACGTGAAAGTCGAAGACAGTTCATCTTCTCTAAATAAGATGACAAATCTGATAATTTAATTAAATCGATAGCATTTTTTTCAAAAGATTAATCGTAATTATTTTCTCTTGTTCTTGTCAAAGCTGCTCATGAGCTAACTTCAGTAATATAAAATCCTCGTTCAGATATTATTATCATTAATTTCTAATAAGACAAAAAAACTTCTATAATAAGTACTCATCGTTCGTCTTGACATCAGAACATGTCTTGTATATCAGTACTTAGCTTCCGATGACAGTAGATGTGTCCGTAAGATATAATTCAATCTAACTAAAAGTTTCTACCAGCCTATATAACCTTTGTTCAAAATGACGTCTGCTATAGGCATATATTTTCCATGTATATTTTAGCAGGATAATTTCAAATGAATGAGCATAGACATTTTTTTTCAAAACTTGTTTTGTAGTCATCGGAATCATTTCCAAAAATGTTTTTCTAAAATAATTTCAAACATATTTATTACCTACAATCATATTGTCTTGTATCAAAGCATCTCCTTTATTTACTTTTTCAACTTGCCATTATTTCAACTTATGATCTAATTTCTCTTTTCTTCAATAGTTCAAATGACATTATCAATTATTGATACATTAGTTTTGTTAAATTCAATATTAAATCGATATATAGCTATAATAATATTCATAGTTGGTGCCATGGGAAATATATTCAATGTAATAGTATTTACACGGCGAGTTTATTTTAAACAATCATGTTGTTTGTACTTTATTGCTATTTCAATAAATAATTTACTAATGTATTTCGTTGGCCTTTCAACTCGAATATTATTAGATGATGGCTATCAACTTAGTTTTTTTGGTGTTCATTCAGATATATATTGTAAAATTCGAACTTATTTTGTGTATGTTTATTTTGCAATATCAAATTGGTTTTTTGTTTGTGCATCATTGGATCGATTTTATTCAACAAATCAATCAGCAGTACAACGTCAACATTTTTGTTCTACACGAATGGCATTTAAATTTATTTGTACAGCAATAATTGGATGTCTACTAGTACATTTCCATGTTATTATTTTTTATTCATATTTTAACGTCTTAAATCAATATAATCGATTAACATTATCATGTACAGCAATTAATATTGTTTACAATATATTTTTTGCTTTTTTTATGCTAATTTTTTTTAGTTTATTACCTCCAGTATTAATGTCAATAATCGGATTTTTGACATTGAATAATATTCGAAAAACTCGTCGACATGTAAATCCAACAAATACTACTCAAATTAAAGTTAGACGGGATAGAAATCAATTAATCAAGAGTCTTTTAATTCAAATAACAATTCTTGTAGTTTTAACAACTCCACATACATGTTATTGGTTTTATATAGCTTTTACATCAAATCAAAGTTCAACAAAAACAAATTGTGTACGTGCATGGGAGAAACTTATATTAACAATTGCTCGACTATTACTTTATATTAACTATGGAAGTACATTTTATACTCAAATACTTATATCAAAAACATTTAAAAAGGAATTTATTAAAATATTTGACAACGTAAAAAGACGCTTTAGAAATTTATTTTGAGTAGAAAAATTTCTTGAACAATTTGATTGTGATGATGTTAAGTCTTTTACCTTTTTTTTTTTATTATATTTTCTTTATTTGTTTTGTTGAATAATAAAACCTTGCCCACATCATGCATCAAATATTATTGAATTTCAACATACAGAAATAAACAAAATCATAGTTTTTCGAGAATTGACAACTATAGATATTTCAGTTAGCCTAAAAAATCAAACATTATGTTAAAATGTCGTTATCTCATATCCAGATCGAACATACTCTCTCGTTAACGATTGTCAACGTACGATCTCCGTATACGGTGGTCGTGAAATAACACGAAGTATTTGCAAGGTAAATGACTGCCGTATATGGTCGTATGTCACTAAGTGCAACCGTACATAGTCGTACACACTACTATACGCTCAATTTTAGAAAATCGTAATAAACTAAGATTTGAATGGATGTATTATATTTTTTAGTATTTATATTTTCATTATCATTATTCGATATTATGATAATATAATATTATTTTATTGTATTCTATTTTAGATGATCTAAAGTGATATATTTATCGACCAGTAAGTACTTAATTTAATCTAATTTTATTCTTTTTATTTTACGAGATCTAAGTGGATATATCTATAGCGAATAGTATATAAATAGATTTTCTTTATTGATTTTTTGAGTACTTTACTTTATTTTATTATTTCAGGGCATCTAACCGAAGATATTTGTATCCTTGATCAAATTGGTTTGTATTCACAACAACTGAAGAAGCAGTTTTATACATATTTATATCGATCAATAACCACGTCGTTTCTGATGGTCAGAATAATCGTCCTGGGTATAATACTAAAATATTGCGAGTTAATGTCATCACACGCTCAAATGGATTTATTATGAGATGAATTTCGTGAAAAATGCGGTCATCTTTTCGGCAGATAGTGCGTATAATAATCTTTTTCTGACGATAAACAATTATGATTGTATCGGACGGGGCATTATAGTAAGAAAAATTGACCTTAAGAAAATAAAAGACATATTCTACATAAGGAAACAAAAAACTAAATTTAATAAAGTTGAATCAAAGTAAAAAAAAGTGATGGCAATAGATCCATTCATCAAAAACATGTAGATCATCATCTATATAGCAATATACCCAGGGCAACGATTCCTGTCGGTTCCGGATGAAACCCGACAAATCCGGAGTACAGATACGGTCACCGGCATACTATGGAACCGGCCGTTTCCGTGCTGGATTGTATGACATGGGTAAGTGACTTGAAATGAATAATCTTTATATATATAATAATTTCTGGTCAGCTAGATTCTTCAAATTGTACTGATTTACAGAATATAATAATTCATTTATAAGGAATATTTACAGACAACAACAGCAGAGTGAAAGAGAGCTCGACGATGCTCGAGCTGCCCTCAGGGGGATGCTCTTGAGGGTGTGGGTACTCTGCGGGTTTCAGTCTCAAAGCCAGGTCCACCCCACACCCACCCTCAAGATGGCTAATTTGCGTATCGATCGTGATGATCCTCCAAACCTCGATCCAACGATCTTGGATCAATTTCAACGAGATACAGAGTTGTTCCTGGGTGAAATGACTAATACGCACCATCAACAATTAGCCAGCGCACCCTAGAGTATGGTAAACTCGAGCCAACAATTACTCGATGACGATTATATCGACTTCTTAAACATGGACGAATAAATTTCTTTTTTTTTTTGTATTTTTTTATGATAAAAATAACCACAAACAAGAAGAATAAATTATATTTTTTTTGCTATATTTACAGAAAAAATATGAAAAATTTCTTACTATATTTTTTTTCAAATTATTATATAATATGCCTAATTATATAATAATTTATTATAGTAAGAAAAAAAAAGATGTGCTATATAAGGAAAAAAATTGGACGAAGTTGAATAATATAAAGGTCGTCATGGCTATAGATCCGTGTGCAGAAAATGTATGTATATATTGTCTATATAGCAATATAAGTGACTTAAATCTATCATACCTCTAGTGTTCAAAATGTATTAATTTATAGGAAGTATTAATTGGAATTTTGTTTTACAATTTTAGTTAATTAATTTAGATAATGATCAACAATGCTCTGCCAATGAACTAAAAGAAGCTCGAAATAATCTGATGAATGTCTCCGTAATAGAAAATCCAATATTGTGGAATATTTTATTGGATAACGTACAAGCAAGAGCAGTTGAACTGTCGGAAATATCTACAAAATTAAAACTTTTAGAAGGTATGTATATATTGTGTTCGAATTACTAATAAATATATTTTTTTTAATAGATATTCATGTCAACGAACTCAATGGCACTTTACTATGTTAACAATATTGGCTGAAATAAAAAACTTTCATATTGTTCATTTTTGTTTTATTTTTCATATGAAAAGTACATGTGTATATTATTATTTTTTATGTGTATCTTAACACCTTAAATAGGGGTAGGACAGTTCCTAACCCAGGACGATGGTTCCTGAAGCAGGAATCCGATGGAGAAGTGAGATAACCGTAATTGGTTGCCGGTTTTGACATGTTCCTATCGGTTCCGACTTAAACCAGATAAATCCGATCACCGGATCCGTTCAACAGGAATACTGCCTCCATGAAATCTCCGGAATACCATGGAACCGGCCCTTTTCGTGCCGGATTGTTCGACCAGGGCATATAGATAACAATCAAAACGGCTTCATTCATTTATTTTAGAACAAACGACCGATAGATGATAGTGGAAATACGTAATCAATGAAAGAACGGATCCGTGAATTTGAAGAAACACTCAACCAACGTGATCAGCAATTGAAAAATCTTGAATCTTTAGTTACTAAATTAATGTTAGATCTTGCAAAACACGAAGCTCGTGAGGAAACATTAAACAAAAAAATTAAAGAACTTGAACGTAAATTAGAGGATCAGCGTCAATTTGTATCTAGTTCATTGGATGATTCCAAACCTCCACCACTTTGTAAAAAGTGAACTCATTCGTTAATATTCATTTGTTGTATATTTACAATAATTTGTTATTTTCATCTACTTTGTCTTGATTTAATCTGACTTTGCTGTTTTATGAATAATTTCTCAAGTTTTTATCAATATTTCAGCTATTTCTTGATTCATGAATTGTATATACTTCTGTTACCAGCTTTGTAAAAAATACATATAACAAAAAGGATTAGTTTTTTTCAACACACTAACCTTATTGAACAAGCTAAATATGTACAATATAAATGTCATTAGGACAGTTTAGAGCAGTAGTCTACTCAGTTTTGCTCTGAAAAAGAAAATGGACATGAATATCACAAATTTTTATTTGAAATAATTATAAAAATAATGAAGTTGTTTCGATTTCTCAATTACCGAAATAGTTCAACTTGAATTATCATAATAAATTAATGTATACTTTGGTAAATTGAAATCTCATCAAGCGAATTTTAATCATCTGAATTTTACTAGTTTATCTACTTCTCAACAGGCTTTTGACGAAAAAAATATTTGTCGAAATTTCATAAAACCGATAGAATTAATACTGATCACGTTCGTCAGTATAATTCTAAGCAAGCATACCACCTATATTTTATCGTTATATCGATTTTATTCAACATTCTTGCTCTACTCGAATTGGTATTTAAATTTATTTGTTCAACAATAATTGGATGTGTACTAGTATATACACATATTATTATTTTTTATGTATATTTTAACACCTTAAATAAATATAATCGGTTAACATTAACATGTATAGCAAATGGTACTGTTTACAATATATTTTTTTTCTTTTTTTATGCTAATTTTTTTTATAGCTCATAACCTCCAATATTAATGTCAATAATCGACAAACTCGTTGACATGTAAACCTATCGAATACTACTCAAATCAAAGTTAGACGGGATAGAAATCAATTAATCAAGAGTCCTGTAATTTTAACAACTCAACATTCATGTTATTGGGTTTAGATAGCTTTTACGGCAAATTAAAATTCAACAAAAACAAATTGTGTACGTGCATGAGAAAATTTTATATTGAAATAATTCTATCAAAAACATTTAAGAAGAAATTCATTTTGAGAATTCTTTTCCCTCATTTTTTATCTATTTAGAATAAAACATTTCTTTCATATAGTTACATTTTAATTCATTGGAATATATGGGTGTGTACTATTAATAAGAAAAGAACTTTGTCAAAATATAGATGTCAATATTAATTTTTTGTAGAAACATTTCCTGAACAAATTGATTGTGGTGAACAATTGATTATAATAATGTCAATTCTTTTACCTTTTTGTATTATATTTTCTTTACTTATTTGTTGGATAATAAAACCTTATCCACATCAAGCATCAAATGTTATTGAATTTCAATGTAGACAAGAAAAAAATATTGAAATTTTGGATGATTAATAAGATATCAAGTTATCAAACAATCCATTAATAAATAGTCGTTTAGATATTAATTGGTAAAATCTTTTTCTATTGATTTCATGAAGAAAAAAATGACAGTAAATAAAATGATCGTTTCTGATTCATAACATATTCCATTCAAATTATTTTTTGTATATATATTCTCTATATGCCGAAATTAACAAAGAACAAATTGACTAATATTTCTCATCCGAGATAAAAAAAAAAGAAAAGAGGACATCAAAAATTGAATAATGAAATTAATTTAATTGATTGTATTGCGCAAAAAAAAACTACTTACAAGATTGATTATCCTTAAGTAAATATATATTAACACATATAATACGTAACCTTCAACGTCTGAAAGAGAAAAAAAGAAGCTAAGACTTTGTCATGTAATGCTGATAAAAATAAACTTATAGAAAATGATTTATGTTCATCAAAAAAACATTGACAGGTCTATAAGAAGATTTTTTTTTTATATCGAATAAAAAATCCTATTAATATTTTGTTCTGATTACACGTTTGCATGATGTAGTCTGAGTGGCTTCATCTATTTTTTTTTATCAAGGATTGACAAGAATAAAAAAGAAGCATTTCTTCATTTCACTCTGCAAATACTTAAAAACAACCATTTCGCTTTCTTCTTTTCTTTTATGATTGGTTATTCTTTTAGTTGACACTTAGATTTACTTTGTCATGAAAAGGAAAAAATTTGAAAGTGAACTTTCTTCTTAATGTAAGTTTTAGTTCCTCATTTTTCTAAATGCAAGAAAAATAAACAAAGACATTCAATGTCATATCAAACATAAGATCTTTTAGTTTTTTCTTTTTCTTTGATTTGTTTAGATCATTGATTGGTGACAGCTTTTTGATAGACATTTTGCCTGCAAACTTGAGATTTATTTTTATTACTTAAGAAACCAGATCTTTTTCAAACAATAATTCATATCAATTTAAAACAAGAAAAACAAATTATAGAAGAACCTTCAACGTAAAATAGAAGTTTTAATATATGACAAAAAAGCCCTTGTCTTCCTGTTCTTCTCGCTTGCTGTCGTACGGCTGTCTGCTAATCATTCTTTTTCTTTCATCATCACCAGCCATAGTAGTAAAAATAACAACAACATAGACAGCTATACATTCTGCAGCTTAGGAGACTAAAAGAGAGAAAAGAGAGAAGGAAAATGGATATAGAAATGAGAGAAAGATAAGAGAGAAAAAACCACATAGCTGCGCGGTTCTGCACACATACACACTCCCTCCCTCTCTCTCTCTCTCTCTTTCCCGATTCAGTTCTTTAGTGATGACTGCTCGTATATGTGTGTGTGAATGAATGTATTTGCGCGACGAGTAACTGTGGAAGAAACTATTTAACAATTCAATAACCTTGAACACGTCTTATATTCCGATTCAAAGAAGATAACAAACGAAACAATTAAACTGAATAATAATCGCCCGTTTGTCTCAATCATTCTCTGGTAGGCATATTCATCATGTAGCATCTGTTGACATTTGACTTTTTGTTTCGTCGTCCAACAAATATTGTAATTGTAGAGTATAGTATCATACAATTCGATATATTTAGAGAATAACCTTTTATCAATTATATATGTATAGATATCTGCCAGCTATATAATTAATGATAATCATAGATTAGTTATATGCTCGAGGTGAAATCTGTGAATAATTTAAAATAAAAAAAATACTACATAAAAAAAGAAATTTCTTTTTTTTTTAAATATTAATCATCTAAACATATTACAAAAATACAACAACTGAATACAAATGAAGGTCAAGTGCTTCTATTTGGTTAGCATTAGAACATGATAGTTAATCAATTTATACAATCATACTAATCATTATAAAAACAGTAGGCACAGTTGCATGTTAGGAGATTATGCAAATATCATCTCATACCATACATATTCACTATTGTTAAGATATTGAAAATGATATATGTTTTGATACGGCATTAAACAAAAGCCAGACATTCATATGCTTGAATGTACAAGGAAGAAAAACAAATCTAATCGGATTTTAAAATATTTTCTCTTGTTTATTGACGGGAGACAAAAAAAAATATTACAGAATCATTTCGTCTCCTTTTCCTTCAAATAGTATAGTTCAAATACCAACGCGATTTTTTTTCCTTTCGTTGTGACCTTCTAGTTGTCGCATAGAACTGTTTATATCTTTACTCTTTCTTTATATGAAAAGGTGAATGTAACAATTGTTTTACCATAGAGATCATCATTATTCGTATACAGTTACAAAAAGTAAGGTTAGTAAAAAAAAGATTATTAAGATATTAATAGGTATAGTTAATAGTGAGACTTTTTTTTCTTGAAAAAATAATTATTGAATATAATGGAGGAAAAAAAAGGTTAGGTAAGAGATTCTTATAATGAGAATATGAATTATTTACTATAAGAAATGAAATAATCATCTCGTCATAGTTGATTTCAAAGATTATTTTATCGAGATAGTTACTTTCCGTACTGATACAATAGAGTAAAATTTCAATTAGATTTTAGCTTAAAGCGTTTTCTCGATTCTATGAAAAATCAATTTGATTTGATTGACAAATATGAAAAAACGAAAAAGATTCATTGAATTACTACTAAAGAAACCATATTCAACTTTTTTTTTTCTTTTGCACAATCTTTACAAAAAAAGATTGATGAGTGTGTGTAAGAATTTATTACAAATCGAAGTAGAGAAAGAAAAAAGATAAGACTTGTCGTCACCGTTGCATAAATAGTTATGAACGGTACTTTTCTTCTTTTCAGATGAGCATATAATAGTGCACATAATCAATAGAGAAACGTTCGAATGTCCTTGAGTGATAGTCGACTTGAGGCAGCAGTTTTTTTTCTTCTTTCTCTCTCTCTCTCATCAAATTAACGGCTGTGAAGAGAAAGAAAGCGAGAAAAAGGCGGGCGTTATTACACTGGCTTTTTATATTCTAGTAACAAACCAACAATTATTAGTTGTTTTGTTAGATCAAACAGTATGCTGAATGTTGCGCATGTAATCATAATTTAGTGAGATTCGTGCTGCGTACATGCATCTTTTTTTTCTATCTGTCTCGACGGAGTCGCTTGTCGATGATTAGTAATATAAGAGAGTAAGAGAAGACGATGAAAAAAAACAGGAAAATACTTGCTGAAACGTGACTGCATAGAAAATGGTGATACACTATATAAAACAAATGCACTCGTTTAGATAGAAATAAAGAGCTATTAAGAGAGTAAGTACCATTCATATCAGTTTCCTTTTTTTTATATTTGTTCGTATACTGTCAAACAAATGGAAATATACTTAACAATGTTAATTTAGTCGTCATTAATCTTTATTCCTTTCCTTTTCTTTTTTTTTTCTTTTTCTTTCGATTAAGACAAAAGAAGAAAAAAAAAACGTTTTCTTTTTCTTATTATACATTACTTTGAATAGAGATTTTTCAAAAATTTTAAATAAGAAAATTATTATTTTTCGAAAGATTTGTTAATATAAACGAGGATATATAATTAACATCGATTTAGTTTTTATTTATACTGAGAGTAAAAATGAATATTTATCCTTGGATGTATGACAAGTTTCTTTATTTCTTCATTGATTCGCTTCGACAAGTGTACTATAGAAGTAATTTTTTGTGAAGATTTTTTCCACTTTTTTTACGAAGGTCATGTATATTTTTGGTTGAGTTGTTCGTTTATAGTTATTAAGAAAAATGATTGTTTAGATTTTTTCTACTGAATATCCGGTTTAGGGAATAAGAGTGTGTAATTTTTTTTTCTATTGTAATAATAAAAAGGCAAAATAAAGAAATGATACTTTTGATAAATCTAAACGATGAGTATATTTCCCAAATGAATATATCTCTGTTTGTTGTACGTCAAGGTTAATCAAAAGGAAAGTAAAAACAGATTGCAATGGGAAACAGAAAGCAGAAAGAGAGAAAAAAATCGAAGATTAAGGTCATATAAAAATAGAGAATATATACATCAATTAATTTGTATGATATTGATTTTGTCTTTACTATTAAATTAATTGTAGAAAGAGACAAGTGGACATGTTTGTACAACAGTGGTGATGCACTACTCCGACTTTTGTAGTGACTATGCCCTGTGGCTTGATCGTCTTCGATTGTCATCTACTATTCGTCGTTGTTATTCTCGTCGAATTAGTTATATCAAGACCAATTTTAATCGATAAAGATCAACGAGAATTCACGACATCACCTGGTAGAATAATGAAAAAAGATCGAAGACATTCGATATTTGACGACAAGAACAGAGCTGTTTTAGGTGAATTAGTAAGTTTATTAAAATAAAAATGCAAAATAAATAATAATATTTTCTCTTCTTATTTTCTATGACTTTTTTAAGCATACATATTTAAGTAATTATGGTTATTTACCTCGTTCTGACTTGGAAACTCGCGCAATGAGAACCGATGAAGAATTTCATTCAGCTATACGACGTTTACAAACATATGCTACAATACCTGTAACTGTATGTAATATGAATATAATTCTTATTTTTATTTCAATTATTTTTATTCAAAAGGGTAAACTTGATCCAGCAACACTTGATTTAATTCGACGTCCTCGTTGTGGTTTAGCTGATAATGACCCTAATCGTGTACCACGTCCTCATATGTATGGTAATCGTCGTCGTCGTCGACGTTATGTTTTACAAGGACAAAAGTGGGCTAAAACATATTTAACTTATAAGTAAGTTTGAAAAAAACAAGAATTATTTATTTCTTAAATAAACAAATGTAGTAAGAAGAGTAATTGTTGCAAATGTAAATAAGATTGGTTTAAGTAATGTTTGTTTTTTAAAAATTTGCTTTTTATCTTCAAAAGTACATTGAAATTTTTTTATATGAATTTCATCAGATTTTAAGTTTTTCCATTGTATTATATAATCATCATATTGACTTAAGATTTGTGCATATTGTACAACAAGTAATATATCATATTTAATTTCAATAGGAGTTAAATGACATTCAATAAATGAATTAGCTTGAATAAAACCACGAGCTGGTTGTGAAGCTATAATATCTGGTTGAGTTGTTTTTAATTTAAATATAATTGGAAATGTATTATCATTATATAATTTTAAATGAATTGAATTAAATGATGGAGAAAAGCTTAGAGATTTAGATGGTTTACTACGTAATTCAATAAATTTTTCACAATTAATATTTGATTTTTTATAGTTAATTAGAGTATCACCAGAATTTTTATTTTCTTGATTTGATAGATCGTAAACACTAGTTGTTTTTTCGTCTTGCCAATTCATTAAAATTCAAAAAAGAAAAAATGAATAAGAATTAAAACCGCTTTTTTTCTTCTTTCTTTTGTTTTTCTAATAGAATTATGAATTATACTGAAGATATGTCGCGCGAATTAGTCGAACGTGCTATTCATCATGCTTTACTATTTTGGTCTTATCCAAGTCAACTAAGATTTCGTAAAGCTGTTGATTCCGAACATCCCGACATTGAATTTTTATTTGCTAAAGGCTATCATGAAGATGGTTATCAATTTGATGGAAAAGGTTAGAATTTCCAATAGAAAAAAAAACATTTCTTTTAAAATTTTTTTGTTTTATTCAGGTTCTGTTCTTGCACATGCATTTTATCCTGAAGAACATCTTGGTGGAGATGTTCATTATGATGAAGATGAAGATTGGACAGCTTATCGAGAAAATGAATATGGCTTGAGTAAATATTATCTATTTTAAAGCTAGAAATATTAATCTTTCGATTTTAGTGGACTTATTCTCAGTAACTGTTCATGAATTAGGACATTCATTAGGTTTAATGCATTCAAATATACCTGATGCAATTATGTTTCCCTATTATCGTGGTTATTCCAATGCTACTAGATTACATATGGACGATATTGCTGGTATTCGAAAACTTTATGGAGGTAAATAATTTTATATTGAAAAAACTTCGAAAAAAAAAACTATTTCTTTTTTAAGATCCTCCAAGTAATTCTCTACCAGAAGAAGATTCAAGTTCACCAACAATGTATTCCGATAAAATAACAGAAGAATATAATGATTATACAACAACAACAATCACAGAATTAATAACAACAAATATAATTGAAACAATAACAACAACAACCACGACGACGACGACGACGACAACGACCATGATTCCAACAATAACAACAATTCAAACAACAATATCAACTACCCTCATAACCACGGTATCTTCTCATAATGAAACACAAACGCATCAGACAAGAACATATCCATTATATGGACCAAAAACTCGATATACAACAAATATCCCACCAGTAAAAACAACTTATCTTCGCTTACAAACACCTTACGAAACAACAACAGAACAAAATAAAATCAATCGTACAGATCAATCAAAATTAGATTTATGTGATGGTTTTTATGATGCTATTACAATGTATAAAGGAGTTTTATTTATATTTAAAGGACAAGTTAGTTGTGATTATTATTTTATTTTTATTCTTATTATTTTATAATTTTAGTATTTTTGGCAATATGATCGACGTGGTTTAGATCCATCATCACCAATGATTAATAATGCTTTTTGGTTAGGTTTACCCGAAACTTTACAAAAAGTTGATGCTGCTTATGAAAGAGCTGATGGACGTTTAATGCTTTTCTCAGGTCGTCAATATTGGATATTTGAAGATAATAGAATATCAGTGGAAAAAAATGGTATTACTTATCCACGTAATATAACTTCACTTGGTCTTCCAACACATGTCGATCGTATTGATGCAGCTTTTTTATGGTCATTTAATCGTCAAGCTTATCTTGTTTCATCAAATTTATATTGGGCATTAGATGAAAGATGGAATCGTGTTAATACTTATGATTATCCAAGAGATATGACAATGTGGCAAGGAATTGATATTCCCCTTGATGATGCTTTTGTTGATTTAACTGGTAAAAATAATGAAAAACAAAACAATTTTTTTTCTTCAATTTGTTATATTTTTAGGTTCGACATATTTTTTCAAAGGTCTTGATTTTTGGCGTTTAAATGATACAAGTATGGAATCAGCAATTGATTACCCACGTTCAATAAATACCGAATGGCTTTTTTGTGATAAGCCTCGATCTTCATCATCTTTATTTTCTGTTCGATCGACTTTTATTTTCTCAATTATTCTCCTTCTTACACTTCACTGCTCTTCGCTCTAAGCATCTCATAGATTCTTTAACTTGTTTGTCTTTTGTTTTTTTAAAAAAATTTTTTGGCTTGTGTCTGATACTCATTGGTATATGTGTGTCACCGCCAAAACAAAGTGTCAATCTTCTCAGGTCACAATTGTTTTCATTAATGAAAACAAAATTAGAATATTCATTGAAAAACAAAAACACGAAAATAGATATCAATTTGTGATCTCGAAAAGTACACACTCCTTAGACAAAAATCATTCTTTGTATTCTTTTTGTTCCGCGTTGTTCGTTTGTTTTTTTTTATTCATATCTTTTATTGTGCTTCACAACAGTCTAGTCGATTACTGAGGAATAAACAAAATCTTTTATTATTTAATTAGGTTTTTTTTTTTATACAAGAATAAAAATTAGATAAGATGATTAATTTGTTTTTCTATGAACAAGAATTCATTCATTGAGTATATTCTAGACTATAGAATTACTTTAAACTTTAAGCTTTGTTCGTTCTTTTTTACGTAAGTATGGTGCAAGCATACATACAAATTTGATGAATAAGAACAAAAAAAAAAGAAAAAGTTGCAGTGTAATGTAACTGATTCAGTCGTCGTCAATATGAAAAGAAAATGATTCTTTCTTGTTTTATACTGTGTTACCTGAATCATATTTACATTTTTCTTTTTCTCCCCTTATATAACCATACTGTGCGGATGTGTTAAAAGCACACTATTTATTGCAAACAACGAATACAACAATATTAAAAGCAAGAAAAAAAATATGTCGTCGACATCAAATGAACATAGTGAAGTTTCCGATGGAAAAATAGCAACGGAATCAGCTCCAGCAGGTATGAATTCCATTACAAATACAGTTGGTATGCATCGTACAGATGATGCATTAGCAACACCACCTGAAACAAATGTACGACGAGGAAGTACTTGTGATAAACCAGGATGTACGGCTGAACATAGTGGAAAACCACATGATATGCATTAGAACATTTATTTTAAAAAATTATTATATAATCCCGCTTACAGTATTTGTTTGTTTTCATTTTCACTGAATAAAATAATCTAATACGTCATTTTTATATACATAGAAATATATCGATTGAAAAAAAACACGTGCTTTACCTTGTGCTAAAAATATATTTATAATTATACGAAAATAAGTTTCTATAAAAAATATTTTAAATATTCTTTATAAAAAAAAAGAAAAACAGATGTTTACATGAATGTATGCGAAAATATATTTATATTACATATGAATAATTTTAAGATAAGAAAAACATTTGTTTTTTACATTATTTTCTCATAACTTGAGATTTTTTCAATTATTCATGAATGTAATTGTTATTATCTAACATTTTTAAGAATATATGTACCTATTCTATGTCAGAATTTTATTAACAACAAAAATACTATGACAAATATAATGATGATTAAACTAACAGAGACATTTGATCAATATTAGTCAACTGTTTAGTGTACTATTCACATAAATATGATATAAGCAAAACGATATCCAAAGAAATTTGATCAGAATTATATGCAGTGAATATTCTATTTCTTTCATATAATATATATATATATCTATATTTTGAATTATTTAGACAAGAGTCATACAAGTAAGG